TGGGAAAGAGCCCTTTAATGGGGGAAAAAGAAGAACGGGGGGGGGGGGGGCATCCAACCGCCCTTCTACTCCCGGACCGGCCCCGGGAGAAACGACTTCGCCGGTGCCGCCGGTTCCTCCCTTTCTGGGGGGTGGAGAGGGAGGGGGGGGGGAAAAATATAAAAAATAAAAATAATAATCATAATGATAAAAAAAATCCCCAGCGTGGAGTACAAAGGGAAAATATATATAAAAAAGGGCAGCCTCCGGTAGGAAAATCCCAATCCCCTCCGCTAAATCCCACTCCCAAGTTGCGGGTACCCACCGGCGGGGAGGGAGCGCCGCGGGCGGCAACCGGCTCCTCCGCCCCGCACCTTCCCCGGGGCTCGGCACGAACCCCCTCACGCACACACACACACACACCCCTGCCCCGCAACACACACGCACACACACACACACCCCGGCTTCGCCCGGGAAGGCAGTGGCTTTTCCACGGCGCTTCCCCGCCAACTTGCGGGGAAAGGAGCGAAGAAGTCCCACCTAGCCGCTTGCCGGCAACTTTTTGGAATTAAGTCCTAATTATTTTGGGTAAAAAAATAAAAAATTAAGAAAAAAAAAATTTTAAAAAAATAAATAGGCAGCGGTGGACCGATGAGGAGGAGGTAAAGCCGGGAGGCTGAGAAAATAACCTTTCCTCGCGTGTTGAAAACCAGTCACATTTCATTATTTTATTTTTTTTTAATTTTTTTTTTTTCCTGTTGCACACAAAAGGGACACCCGGCAACCGGCTCCGAGAAGCGCCGCACTCACCTCCCGGCTTCTTTTCTTCTTTTGCTTCAAAAGGTTGAGCGGTGGAAGCAAGTCAGTTTAAAAGTCACCCAGCATAGAGAGGGCTTTCCCCCGGCTCTTTCTCCCTCCTCTTCCTCTCCCTCTTCCTCTCCCTCTCCCCCGGCCGCGATCGCTGCTGCCGCAGCCCCGGAGCTGTTTTTCACTCCTCGGCGAGGCTCATCGGCACTTGCCAACAATGAGCTGTGTTTCTTACCCAGCTTTGGCCACAGCTAATATAGGATTTCAGAAGGGAGGAGCAAAAACCCTCACAGGCAACCAGAAGTAAAACCTGGAGCAAGCCAGGGAAAAAAAAAAAAAAAAAAAAAAAAAAAAAAAAAAAAAATTCGGCTCACCAGTCTTTTTTTTTTCAGATCTAAAATTGATTAAAATAAACCCAGTGATCTGACTTAGCTGTTTCTATTTAGAACCTGAATAAAGACTTGTGAGCCCAAAAGCTTATCTGCTTTGGAGTTATTTTTTTTTTCCCCCCAACTGTACCAGTTGCTCTAATAAAAGATACAGCCTCCTCATGCCCACACCCTTCCACTGTCAAGTTTCCACCCGTGTAACTACCGTGACCATTGATTTCTCCTCTGGCTGGAGTGGGCACCGCGGTCCCCAACTGCCATCGTTCTTCAGAGGAGGGACAGGGTTACAACTCACCCAGCTGCCGCTT